CCGCTCCACCGGCGCTGCCTGGACTGGCGCGCTGGGTGGCCTTGGGCAGGTGCCCTGGGAGGCCCCACGGGGGAAGCCCAGACTCCGGATCTGTCCCTAGTTATGTGCGACAGGCTTCGCTCTGCAATGCCTCAGCTTTGGCAGGGACAGACCTGCATCTTCCTGCTTCATGTGGTCCAGGACGGGCAGATAGGTTTGGAAAGGTTATTGGGGGTGCCTGTGACCTCTTGGACAGTAATTCCTCAGCCATTCCTTCCGTAGAGAACCAAAGTAAGTGGGTGGGAGGGCGCTGTGGGATGTTCAGAACTTCGAAGGCCTGTGGTGAACCCCAAAAAGGATGGCTGCTGCCGGTCAGCTGAGAAGGCTGGTCTCAGGCAAAGGCTGTTTTGAGAGGAGGGAAGACTGGGTCTCATAGAGCCTAGACTGGCCTTGAACTTGTGTAGCAGAGGAAGATCGGGGAACTATACTGCTCCTTCTGTCCTCACATCCCCAGTGCATTACAAGATCTCTGAGGTACTGCCTTGTAGGAGAGAGTGCAGGAAGGGAGAAGGTAGGTAGGGTGTGGTGGTTGGTGGAGTGTCCCTGGGAGTCAGTTACCAGTGCACTTAATGACAGAGCTGTCCTGGCAGACTTCAGGGAGAGAGGAAAGGAGCCTTGGGCTTCTCCATCTGGGGGAGCCTGTCTGACAACAAAGTCAGTGAGAGTTCCAGTCCCTGTCCTGAGAGAGGAGATTCAGCTGCCATCTGCCAGTGTCTCAGAGAAGCCCCCATTGTGCAGAGGGAAGCCGAAGGCAAATCCTCCAAGGTGAACTTCTTGCAGGGTAGGTGGGGAGATGGTAGAGGTTGGTATGGCGGTGGGTGGGACATCAGACAAGTCCCTTACCTTTGTCCTGCTCACTGGGATAGGCGCAGAAGAAAGCAAGCTTTTGGTGTAGGAAAGCGGGGTTTGTCATCAGAAGCCATCTGCACACCCCGCCCCCTGGAGACAGGGTTTCTTTATGTAGCCTTGGCTGACCTGGATGGAACTCACTTTGTAGATCAGGTTGGCCTCGAACTCACAGAGATCTGTCGGCATCTGCCTCCTGAGTGCTGGGATTAAAGGCGTGCGCCATCACTGCTGCACTTTCAATCCATAGTAACATCTGCTTGCTTGCATTCACTTCCTAATGGGAAAGAACAGGCCTCTTGCCCTACAGACCCCCATACAACCACTTGGCCAAGTACAGAAACTCATGCACACAGATAGAAAGAAGAACAGACACCGCCTGGCATAAGCAGCCAATATCAGGAAGCCCTGCTGGCCATCCCAATCCCACGAACCAACTCCACTGTTGCAAATGGTCTCACACAATTTCTGTGGGCAGGTGCCAAAGCAATGGAAACCTCAACCAGCATGGAGGTTGCCCAGCCCACGCACTATGCATTTCCTAGAAAGGCAGATAGATATTTGCTCCATGTAGTTGGCTGAGATAGCAAGGGTTGGCTACGATGGGCATGTTCACAAGAGATGTCCCCGGTCCTCAAAATTAACTGCACAGTTAAACAGGGAGTGTGGGGTTTGGAAAAGAGATCTAAATTTGGAAGTCATTAGATAATAGATGGCTTTTAAAGCTATGGGGGTGGACGGATGGATGGAGAGGAGGAGCCTATTGCTTCCTGTTTGGTGAGTACTTGTCACAGTACCAGGAAAGTTCCTAAATGTTCTGTAAGTTCTAATTCATCTAACCCTCAACTGACCGATTAATACTATTGATTATTTCCTCACCGTTATACATGAGAGGACAGGGCCGGGTGTTGGTGGTGCACGCCTTTAGTCCCAACACTCGGGAGGCAGAGGCAGGCGGATCTCTTTGAGTTCGAGACCAGCCTGGTCTACAAGAGCTAGTTCCAGGACAGTCTCCAAAGCCACAGAGAAACCCTGTCTCGAAAAACCAAAACAACAACAGCAACAAAACCAAACAAATGAGAGGGCTGAGGCGGAGTAACTCAGCCTATGGCCAACAGGCAGAGGAAGAAGAGCTTGGATTTCACAAGGCAATTTGATTTTAGAGGCAAATAACCAGGCTTTATTATCTCACAGAGCTCTCAGACATTAGGCTATGCAACCGAGCTTACTTCTGTGCCATCAATGCAGTGGCCTTGAGCCACACACAGCAATGAGGAACTTGAGGCAGGAATGGCTTGGATTTCAGAGTGCACCACAACAGAATTTTTAAAATTACACCTATTTATTTATTTTGTGTTGCATGTACCTATGTGTGTACACATGTGCGCTGTGCCTGTGGAGATGAGAAGACAGATTATAGGAGTTCGTTTTCTCCTTCCACCATGTAGGTCCTAGGGTTTCAACTCAGGTTGTCAGATTTGGTGGCAAGCACCTTTACCTGCTGAGCCATCTCTGCAGACCAGAAATATTTTTTTTGAAATTAAAAAAATACATACATACACATATACATAATACATACAAAATCCAACTGTTTTCTCTCCTCCTTTCCCCTCCTGACCTTTCAAGTCTTTTGTCTTCTTATGTCAGTGTGTACTCCTGGCTGATGTTGAACTCAAGAGCCTCTTGCCGCGGCCTCTAGAGAGCCAAGCTTATAGGTGTGAGCCATTACACCTGACTTTTTTTTTTTACCTCCACTGTGGACTACTAGAGCATCTTTAATTGTATGTGCCCCTCCTGCAATGCTCTTACTGGCTAGTGCTAACTCAGCACAGGCCTGTTCAACCTTCATACTACTAATAGTCCAGGCTGGCTAACTGGTGCACAGGGCTACTCTGGGACCTGTAGAATGTTAAATATTATTCGCTTCCCACAAGATGCAAGTAGTACTTTCCAGAAAATATGCAGAGAATACCAAATGGGAGAGTCACCCCCCGGCTGAGGAGCACCGATCAAAGAAACTCCATACAGGCATGTCCAACCTGCAGATCATGGCCACTTATCCCAGCACAAAATTGAAAGCTCACTTACAACACTGGATTTCTTTACATGTTTAAAGAAAACCTTTATTGGTGGCGCACACCTTTAATCCCAACACTCGGGAGGCAGAGGCAGGCAGATCACTGTGAGTTCGAGACCAGCCTGGTCTACAAGAGCTAGTTCCAGAACAGCCTCCAAAGCCACAGAGAAACCCTGTCTCGAAAAACCAAAAAAAAGAAAACCTTTATTGCACAGTCCTTTGTGGTGATGTATTATGATTTATTAAAGCAATAGGGGTCAGTAGGAGGTAGCACACACCTTTAATCCCAGGATTCAGGCGATAAAGGCAAATGGATCTCTCTGAGTTCAAGGCCATCCAGAGATACATTGGAGTGAATCAGTCTAAGAGAATTAGAGCTCACACCTTTAATCCCAGGATTCATGAGAGGTATATAAGACAGGAGCAAGGTCTCAGTATCAGGCATTAATTCTCCACCACACTGTAGATAGGGAGGCTCAGCATCAATTATTCATTGAAGTCTCAGGATTCTCTGGCCACACTGAGGAGAGGCTTCAGTCTGAGGTTTGGTGGAGTCAGGATCAGCCCTTTCAGTCTAAGGTAGCGGTGAGAACTAGTGGCCAGCTGCTTTGCTTTTCTGCTAATCAGCTTGGAGTTTGAACCTCAACATCTGTCTCTGGGTCTTCTATTATTTGTGTTACAGTTCTTGAGTATGAACTTTGTGGTTGGCAGTGTCGTGTGGCAATGTAAAAGGCTGAACACACCTGAGAGGTCCTGGAGAAGAGTCACCAGAGCAGGTTGCAAGCAAGCAGCCCCGGGAGGGGAGGATGCTCAGAAGGCTGGGAGAGCTAAGAAGGCTCACAACCGAGAGGGCTGCCAGGACTCGGTTGTGATCCTTTTTTGGTTTTGTTTTGTTTTTTGAGACAGGGGTTCTCTGTGTAACAGCTCTGGCTGTCCTGGAATGTGCTTTTTAGACCAGTCTGGTCTTGAAGGCACAGAGATCCACTGCCCAGAGGCTGTGATACTTTAAAATGTAATCAGAGTGCACCACCTTCCTCTCAGTATCTCCACAGGCTTCTCATCACATCATAAACTAAATGCTAGCTGCTTTCCATGCTTCTACATGGGGTATGTGTATAATTTATCATTTAACCCTCAGCATCTTTAAGATTGAAGGGATGCAGAACTTGTATTTATTCCAGAACTTTCCAGGGAACACCAGAAGTATGGCCACCTAGTTAGTACTTGCCCTGACTCTCTCTCTAGCTTTATGGAGTGGCGCTATTAGGAGGTGTGGTCTTGTTGAAGTAGCTGTAGCCTTGTTGAAGGAAGTGTGTCACTGCTTGGAGTGGGCTTTGAGGTCTCTTTTGCTTAAGTTTCACTCAGTGTCACAGTCCACTTCCTGTGGCCTTCTGATCAAGACATAGCCAGCACTATGTCTGCCTGCACACTGCCATACTCCCAGCCACCATGCTCCCTGCCATGATGATAATGGACTAAAACTCTGAAACTGTAAGCTGCCACTTCAATTAAATGTTTTCCTTTAGAAGAGTTGTCATGGTCATGCTGTCTCTTCACAGCAATAGAACCTAACTAAGGCAGCAGGTAACAGGTGTGTCATAACTGCATGCTTCCAGAACTCTTGTTTGAGAAGCTTGACTGGAGTCTAGGTAGCGTCTGTTCGCTTTTACTTTGTTTTAAGACGGGTAGGCATTACAAAAAGGCTTCCAAGCTGTGCATGGTGTTTCTCTACAAGTTGAGTTCCAGGCCAGCCCGGGTCACACACTAAGACCCTGTCTGAAAAACAAAAGGAAAAACGAAAACCAAAGTAACAACAACAATGGTTGAATGTGGTGGTGCATGCTTGTAATCCCAGGTCTGAGGATCCATCCCTAGGGCTTGCTGATCAGTTTGAAGCTCTGAGGATGCAGAATTGGGTGTATCTTGGGAATGGGTCAGTGGGAGACA